AGGTAACTGAGTTTCTTTCTCTTGCTGCTTTTAAGATTCTCTCTTTGTGTTTTGCTCTTGGCATTTTAATTATGATATATCTTGGTGTGGTCCTCTTTGGATTCCTTTTGTTTGGGGTTCTCTACGCTTCCTGGACTTGTAAGTCTATTTCTTTCACCAGGTGGGGGAAGTTTTCTGTCATTATTTCTTCAAATAGGTTTTTCAATATCTTTCTCTCTCTCTTCTTCTGGTACCCCTATAATTCGGATGTTGGTACGCTTGAAGCTGTCCCAGAGGCTCCTTACACTATCTTCGTATTTTCGGATTCTTTTTTCATTTTGCTTTTCCGGTTGGGTGTTTTTTGCTTCTTCGCATTTCAAATCTTTGACTTGATTCTTGCGCTCCTCTGGTCTGCTGTTGGGAGTCTGTATAATATTCTTTATTTCAGTCAGTGTATGCTTAATTTCTAGTTGGTCCTTTATCACAACATCGAGGGTCTCATTAGATTTCTTGAGGATCTCACTATATTTATCAGCGGTCTCACCAGTCTTTTCGAGGGCCTTACTAAGTTTATCGGCGGCTTCTAGACAGTTCTTGAGAGACCTTAAAAGTGTGGCTTTGAACTCTATATCCTCCATTTCTGTCATTTGTATCCTGTTTCTTTGTCTCTGCATTTTTTATGCTTTCTTGGTGCACCCCCTTGTGGTCTTTGTGTGCAGTCTTGTTGTAGTTAAGCCTTGATTGTTGTAGGTAATACTGGGGGGTATTTGACCTCCAGGCCAACTGGCTGTGAGAATCAGCTGTGTCTGCAGTGGGAGAACTTCTGTCCTCTAGGGAGGTGCTAGTCTAGCCTTTGCCTGAGGCTATCCCGCAAATGCCTCTGTGCAAGGCTTGGGGGCAGGGCGGGTCCCAGGGGATCAACAGGGCGGGCGGAGCGAGCAGTTATGGCTGCTCTCAGTCCCGTCCCCAGAGGCTCTGCCTCTCAGTGTCCCAGCAACCGCTGCAAACCTCGGAGAGAAAGCTGCCCTCGAATTCTGACCGATGCCAGACAGTCCCGCTTCTCCAGTCCCGCTTCTCCCGTATGAGTCTGGGTCCCTAGAGACTCGCTCGGAACTGGAGCTCAGAGCCTGAGACTCCCTCCCGATTGAAACAGACAACCGCACCCTCAGCCGCCAGCTGGCTCAGCGTGCACCTCCACACCTTAGTATTTTACTTCCGCACTGCGCCTTCTCTGAGTCTCGGTATGCCTTTTTCTTTCCTTCTAGTTGTAGAATTTCCACTCAGCCAGCCTTCCTGTGGTTCTGGGTGATGTCCGTTCCATCTTTTAGTTGTATTTTTGAAGTGGTTGTGCGAGGCAGCAATCTCCTGTGTTTACCTATGCCGCCATCTTGGTTTCTTTTTGTGTAGACTAATTTTATTTTATTTTTTATTTTTTTAAAATATATTTTATTGAATTTTTACAGAGAGGAAGGGAGAGAGATAGAGAGCTAGAAACATCGATGAGAGAGAAACATCGATCAGCTGCCTCCCGCACATCTCCCACTGGGGATGTGCCCGCAACCAAGGCACATGCCCCTGACCGGAATCGAACCCGGGACCCTTCAGTCCGCAGGCCGACGCTCTATCCACTGAGCCAAACCGGTCTCGGCTATGTGTAGACTAATTTTAAATGGTGAGCCATTTAGGTTATGCTTCCAAGTATGATTTCATTTACCCAGGTTTAATATTTTTACATTTTGGGGAGAAGGATGCTCTTGGCATAAGGTGAAGTACACCTGTGCCTTTATTTGGGGTTTTAGAGAAGTTTCACCTACTTAAAAGAAATTTTTGTAATTACACAAGAAATATGACTCGAATGAGGAAATGGTATTCAAAATGGGTAATTCCTCTTAAAAGCAAGAGAAATTAATAGTTAGGATCATTTTCCTATTGATGGAATGAGAAAATGTATAGAGAAGATGTTGCATTTTTAAGCTCTAAATAGTGAAGCAAATCTCTTTTGGGTTAAATGAGATTTAAGGTTTTAGATTAGGATTTAATCCTTAATAAGACAGACTTTCAGAATATGTTGTAATTTTAAGATATTGCTCCATGTGTTAAAGATCTTTTTGATTCTTCTGTTATACATTTAGTAGTCCCCATGTTCATATTTTGAAACACCCTTAAAAGTATGAAATTTAACATTTCATTTCATAGTCAGTTTTGTTCTCTGTCAATTATCAAATACTTCCTCTGAATGATCTCATGCAGCTTAGGAAAAAACACATTTCCACCTGACACTTTCTGGATATTTGTGCCCAAACTTTTCAGGTACTAGTGCAGTGTTCACACACACATGGGTTGGATGCTGCTGCTATGTGATGTTACTCAGTGAGTCCTTTGGCATATGCCAAATAAATAGAATAATTACAAGTTAAGACTATCATATGTTTTAGTTAAGGCATATTTTGAAGGGAAAGTACTATAAGGAGCACATAAATCTTTGATCTGCAATAAATTCCACTTTTATCTACACATGGACAGTATCATTTGAAATTTTCCTTTTAATTTCATTATCTTTGTTACATATATGTTTAAAATATTTTCTTTATGTCTCATTAGGACTTTTTATAAAAAAAAAATCTTTATTGTTGAAAGTATTACATATGTCCACCGTTTTCTTTAGGACTTTTTGTGTCTTTCCCCATTGGAGCTAATGAAGATCACTGGCCTTAGTTATCGAGGTGTCCATGAACTTCTGTGTGTGGTCAGCAGGGCCTGTGCCCCAAGGATGCAAACGGTATATTATATTTTTAAATTATGATTTGGTTATTATTTTTATTTTTATATTATACTTCATCTCATTTAAAATCTTATTTGGGGTGAGGCAAAAACAAAAATAGAGATGAGTACCTCAAAAATACTGACTCTTACACCAGAGTTAGTCTTCTAATGAGAACATATGTGAAAATTTATGTAGTTTATAAGCTCATGGGAGATAGTTCCTAATTACCAGAATGAGGGGACAACAAAGTTTTTTTCTTTGTAGCTAAAAGTGGTATTTCAAAAGGTCATCTTTCTCTTGTTTGGGTAGGATTTGTGGACCTCATGGTTAAATTTTAATATACTTTTAATTATAGATTCCCCTATCTCTATTAATACTTGTACCATCATCACTTACTGTACATATTAGACTTGCATTTGCTTCTTAATTAAATAAATAATACCTAAAAACTTATCCTCTCTCTTGAGAAGAGTAAAAGTCTTTTATAACATCAGGTTGTACTATTTTTTTCGTATTTTCTGTCACATGACTTTAGCTTTTCAAATTGTAAGTTTATGCATGGTAGAGACGATATTGTTTTCCCAGAATAAGAGTTGCCTAAAAGTCTGTTCAGTGATTTCCAAATGTATTTATTTATGTGGATTGTAAATTACTTATTTTACTCTCTCATATTGAAATTTGGTAACCACTGAGCAATAGAAGTGCAATTCTACAAAGTAGGAAGTGTCATTTGAGACCTGTGAAACAATGGACGGATAAAGTACTTTCTTTTGTTCAACTTTAGCTTGTGATCTGAGGAAAATACCTTAAAGGCAGAGCAGGTAGAAGGAGAATTAGAATCGCAGTTGGGGTTTGGCACTACTATTAGCGTTGCCAGTGATCTCTAGCTTTGGACAGCTCACTTTGTTTTAGCAGAGAAGTTAGAGTTAAAATAGTGAGATGATTTTGCGAGTAGATTCAAAATAACCTGTTACTATTTCAAATGTTGTAAAACACCAACCTTTCAATTTGATATTTTTCATTGTGTTCAGTCAATATCTATGGTCTATTTCTAGTTAAGTAATAAGAGAGCATGAGCAAGAAATTCACTTTAGCCTCCGCTTACATCATAACTTCAGTTGCAATCTCAATACCATCCAAATGCCAATTCAGGAATTCATCTTTCTCTTTTGCTATACATGCACTCTTGTAGCATTCTTTAGATTTGAGTCCTGGCTTAGCCTTAGTTCATTCCTTCAGTAAATATTTTTTGCCTGTTTGTTTATTCAGTCACTTATTCTTTCCACCAATCTTTATTGAGTCCAGCCATGTGTCAGGTACTTTGTCAGGTACCGGGGCTATTGTAGTGAACAAGATTGATAAAGTTCCTGCCTTCCCATAGCTTATAGTCTAATGGGAGAAGTCAGACATTAACAAATAATTACATAAATATTTAGTGAATTGTAGTGAGTCCTGTGAAGGAAAAGTTAAAGGAGTCTTGAAACTTAATAACAGGAGACATTACTTAATTTAGGGGAGGGCTCCCACAAGGAGCAACACTAAGGCTAAAACCTGAAGGATGAATAGGAGATAGGTAAGCAAAGGAGTTGGGAAGGGAGGTGAGGGGGAAGACTTCCCAGGCAGTGGGGCCAGTCTGTGAAGGGAAGCAGAATGGTGCCTGCATGGTCATCAAGTCAAGCTGGTGTGAATGGAACGCAGCAGTGAGGAAGAGAATGGCAGGAGATGAAGTCAAAGAGTAAGCAGGAGTCAGATCATTAGGGCCTGCAGACAATGTTAAGGATTTTGAACTTTATTCTGGGAGCAATGAGAAGCCATAAAAGGGTGTAATCTAATATGTTTTTAGAGACTCAGTTTTGAACATAGGTGATTGAAAGGGAGCAAGAACTATTTGTGAATAATAGGTATCTATTAACATATTCCAGACAGAAAGTGATTGTGGCCTGGATTATTAGTGTGGTATTAATGCCGATGGTCTACTGTCAATTAACATGAGAGAGATTGAGGAGGTAGAATGCGTAGGACTTGGTGATTGTCTTCGGTGGTGCTGAGTACAGGAAAGTGTCAGATGACTCCTTGAGTTTTGCTTTGAGAAACTGAGCTAAGGAACACTGGAAGAGGGCCAGGTTTGAGGAAGGCAGATCATGGATTCAGTTTAATTATTGTGGAAATTAAGGTGCCTGTGAAACTTGGAGTGGAGATGTGAAGTAGGCAGTTACATGGAGGGTGGGGCAAAAGTAGGTTTACAGTTGTTCGTGTAGAAAATAACACAATAACTAATAAATCATATAAGAATAAGCTGCGTTTTTAATGTACTCTCAACTGTAAAGCTACTTTTGCCCCAGCCTTTATATGGACATGGAGCTTGGAGGAGAGGTCTGCACTAGAAAGATGCATTTGGGAGTCATCAGTGTAAGTATGGTAGTCAACGCCAAGGGAATGCAAGTCCTGAGTGAAGCCAACGTTTATTTATTATTTTTTAAAAGTATTTTTATTGATTTCAGAGAGGAAGGGAGAGGAAGAGAGAGATAGGAACATCAGTGATGAGAGAGAATCATTAATTGGCTGCCTACTGCACACCCCACACTGGGGATTGAGCCCGCAACCCAGGCATGTGCCCTGACTGGGAAACGAACCGTGACCTCCTGGTTCATCGGTCGATGCTCAACCACCAAGCCGTGCTGGCCGGGCAAGGGAAGCCAACATTTAAAGATGAGCTTAGATGAGTCTGAGAGGAAGCAAGCACCAAAGTAGAAGAAAAGCTGGCGGGATGTCATATCACCGTATTACTCTCTCTCATTTATGCACATACTGTTATTTCTGGAGTCTTTTTCTTTTAGTTTATTTTACATATTTAACAAAGTATCGCCACCCATGTCCACCCAAGTTGCCTGATTATAAGGCATTGGTGCTGGTGTTAAATCAGATGCAAGCCATACAACTTTGACTTGTTTTTCTAATTATTTTATGTGCCTGAATATAGCCTTAAAAAATCTGTGGTAATCCATGGTTTAACTGAAATAAGAATTCAATAGGTAAAGTTAGAGAAGAGTGGGCACATATATGGCTCATAAATATTAATATGTTGGTCTTCCTACATCCTCCCAGGGGCAGAAGAGCCTTGGATTTGAGATATTGATTTATTAAATTGTAAACTTTAAGTGGGTAGACTTTGTCTATTTGGTTTACCATGTATTTCCAGAGTTAATCATAGTATATCGCATCAGTAGGCCCTCTAGTTTATTGCATGAATGCATTTTTATGGTTTCATTTCATTCATAAAATTTCATTCATAAAAATGAACTCTTTAATGGTAGAGATTGCAAGAGGCAAGCATACTCATACATTACTAGTGGGCAGGTAATCACATTAATCACATCTGCAAAGGTCCTTTTTCCAAATAAGGTAGCATTCCCAGGTTCCAAGGGTTGGACGTGGATATTTCTCAGCCTACCACACCTGCCTTTTAGCCATTCCTCACAAACCAACCTCGGTTTGAAATGACAACTTGATCATGTCATTCGGTTGCTCTCAGCATAAACTCTAAACTTCAACAAGGCTCTTTATGATTTGGCCCCTGCTTATTTCTCCAGTCTCATTGCTTTTCACACCTCAACCACACACCATCTTTCAGCTGTTCTTAAGGAAGTCTTTATTTTTTGTAGTTTTCGTTAGTTTCCATTTCCTCCTTTTATTGCTTCTTGACCTTTCTTTGTACATTTTCTCTTTGGCAGGAACATGAACACTTTCTTTGCTTGTCCAACAGCTATTTCAGATTTTAGCTTAGTCCAGCTCTTCCAGGAAGTCTTCCTGGATTATACAGTCCAGGTCAGGTGTACTGTCTTTATGTCTCCACTTTCCCTTTCACAGTATCTCTTATTAATTGTATAGAAATTGCCCAGTTTCTAGTCCTGATGGTTGACTATAAGTACTGTGAGGGCAGGGGCTCTGTCTGTTGAATCATATCCCTATAATCTAGTTCAGTCCCTGGCAAAGATAAATATTTGTCGAACAAACAAATTATAGAGGATGGAAAGATGGAATTGGGGTTCTAACTGCTACAGTTTGAGGTTTGGAGTTGGTTTATGTTTTTGAATAGAGATGGAGGTTGAAAAGAACTTAATCTTTTTCTCGTTCAGGCTTATGAGATAAAGGCACAGAGGTCTGCTGCCCTCTCGCCAGCATTCTTACCTACAACCCTTTCTGCTTTGGATGAAGCCCTGCATGGTGGTGTAGCTTGCGGATCCCTCACAGAGGTAAAGGAGACACTTTCCGAACCTTCTTTCATTAAACTATTACTTTCAGAGCAGGGGAAAAACTTTAGTTAAAAAAACACGTTCTTCCTTGAATATTAATCTGAATTAAATTATAAACACCCAGAACATGGTTTTCTACTCAGTGTCTAGTATAGTTGCTCTGCAAAAAGATGTTTAAAAAAATCCTTGTTGACTGACTGGTCTGGTTTGGTTGCTGTTTGTTTGAATTAACTTGGAAAGAGATGAATATTATGAAATAATATTAAACAATTTGGAGGAATTAAAAAAGAATCACTGACTTAGTGTATTAGGAAAGAAAATTTGAAATTTTATTGACATGTGGGAAAATTACAGAGTTAAACTGAAATGAGCTATATTTATTTCCTGTTGAGGATAGAATTTGGTTCCAGGAAGTGATAGATCTTAGTTATATACTGTTGCAAAACAAATTACCTCAAAACTAAGCGGCTCAAACAACAAAGAGCACATACTGGTTTTGTTTCTTTGGGAATGGCTTCGCTTGGTGACCTTGGCGAGGAATGCGGTGTCTGGAGGTTTGGTGGGGCTGGCGGCTGTTTCCAAGGGACTCACTCAGGACTGGGAAGTTGGTGCTGGTGTTGACAGGAGGTCACAGTTCCTTCCCAGGCTGCTTTGAGCCTTCTCATGACATGAGGGCTGACTTGCAACAGGATGGATGATCCAAAAGAAGGCAAGATGCAAGTGGCCATGCCTTTGATGATTTGACTGTGGAAGTTACACATCATTACTTCTGCCACATTGTCTTAGAAGTGAGTCAGTAAGTCCAGCCCAAGTTCAAGGAAAGGGAAATTAGGCTCTACCTTTGAAGGAAGAAGTATCAAGAAAGGATTTGAAGACATTTAAAAACCAGTTCTTTTCCTTGAAAACTGCATTGGTTTGCTCACTGGTCCTGATGTGGTGAATTGATAGACTACATTTACCAATACACTCCTGAGGGACTTCTTACCTGAGAGTTACAGGGGTGTGGATACTTTAAGCAGACTTCTAAACAGGAGCACTCTTAAATGCCGATAGTCATAAATTTAACTGTAAATTTTTTTCCTTAAAGATCTAAAACCCTGTTTTAGATACGGAACTATATCTTATTTCCGGTCTTCCAGGAAGGATTAAAAAAGGTGTGTATACTATGCCCAGTATTTACCTATTAGATAGTTGGTAAATGAATGAGTGAAGTAACTTAAAAAAAAAAAAAAAATTAGAACCTGCTGTTGCAGAGTACCGCCACCAGATGGTGCCAGAATTCTATTTTTAAATAATATTTTTGTGATTTAGTTGGACTTTTGCTTGAATAAATTTAGAACAATAGTGACCCACAGTTATAAACTTATTTAAATAACAAAAAATTGATGTAAGGAAGATTAACCAATAACTACTTTTTATTTCTTAAGTTTTAGAGTAATTTTCAATACTTTTCACTCAGTTTTTATCAATTCTTTCTGAATCCAAGCTGTAGTTACAAGCTATTTTTAAAAATATATATATTTTATTGATTTTTTTTTCCTACGGAGAGGAAGGGAGAGGGATAGAGAGTTAGAAACATCGATGAGAGAGACATCAATCAGCTGCTTCCTGCACACCCCCCACTGGGGATATGCCTGCAACTAAGGTACATGCCCCTGACCGGAATTGAACCTGGGACCCTTCAGTCCACAGGCTGACGCTCTATCCACTGAGCCAAACTGGTCAGGGCTTACAAGCTATTTTTAAGTGTTTTTTTTTTTTTCATGATCTGCTGGGCTGAATTGGAATAGAAATCTCTGACTATTTATTAGTGGCAAATTCTCTAATTTTTGTTTCAGCCAAAGGCAGCCCCTTCCATCTTCTTGGGAGTTTGCAGCTGAATATAGGAGTATTTCTGTTTACCTTTTATTAAAAAAACAAAATATTTATTTTATGTATACAGATTTAAGTATATCCTGCATGTGTAAGTAGTGAATTCCTGGAGCCCATGAGCTAATATAAGATGCAGAACAATATCCGAACCATTGACACTAGCTGTGGACTCCTCCCTGATCTTTGTCCTTCTGCTGGGAGGTAACCTCCGTCCTGAATTTCTGCCGTTCTCTATTCCCCCTGTAGTTTCCTATACCTTTACCACCTATATACATTAGAGGTATAACATTTTACTTAGTTTTGCTTATTTTTGAGCTCCATTAAATCATATATCTGTGGTTAAATCATATCGTATCTCTTCCGTCTGCTTCTTTAACTTAGTATTGTTTTCTAAGATTTATGCATGTTGTTGCAGGTAGCAAGAGTATAATTCACTGCTGTATCATATTCCATTTTGAAAACATGCTACAATTCATTTATTCCTTCTCTTGTGAATGAACATTTGGGTTGCTTCCCGTTTGCTACTAATGTAAATAAGTTCTGTGAACCTTGCACATGTCTCCTGGATCACATGTACAGATATTTCTGTCGGGCAGGGATTGGCAAACTACTTACTGCCCAGTGGTCAGACCTGGCTCACTGCCTGTTTTTGTAAATAAAGTTTTATTGTAACACAGCTGTGCTCATTTATTTACATTTTGCCTGTGACTATAAGGCAGAGGTGAGTTAGTTGTGATAGAGACCTCATGGTCTACAAAGCCTAAAATGTTCCCATCTGGCCCCTGTCTAGGGTATCTACTATGGAGTGATTTGCTGCTTATAGGGTATGTACATGTGTAACTTTGCAGAATAAGGGCAAATTGTATTTCAGAGTGGTTGTGCCTATTTACGTTCCTACGAGCAAATGTGCACGAATTCCTCTTACTCCATATTTCCTTGTCTCGGTATTATCAGACTTATTAATTTCTGCCCATCTTTGTGACCTTAGTTTTAATTTTCCTGATTTCTAGTGAGCTTAAATATCTTTCCATAAATCATTTGGCTATTTAAAAACATAATTTTATTAAGGTATAATTTAAATACTATAAAATTCAACCATTGTAACTGTCTAATTCAATTAGTAAATTTATATGAACTCATCACCACAATCCAGTTTTGTTTATCCACTCACTAGTTGATGGACACTAGGATTGTTTCCAGTTGTGGTCTATCAGGAATAATATTACTATGAACATTCACAGACATGTCTTTGTGTGAACATAGGTTTTTGTTTCTCTTGGGTGGATTCCTAGGAATAGAATGACTAGATCACATGATAGGTGTGTGTTTAATATTTAGAAACTGTCAGACTGCTTTACAAGTGGCTGAACCATTTTACACTCTCACCAGCAATGCATGATTGGTTTGATTCTCCACATTCTCACCAAGACTTAGCATAATATTTTTTATTTTAGCTATTCTAATGGGTGTGCAGTTATATTTCATTGTGGTTTTAATTTGCATTTGCCTGGCCATGTGTATATTTTCTTTAGTGAAATGTCTATACAAATCTTTTGCCTATTTTTTGATTGGCTGTTTTGTTGTTGTTGAGTTATAAAAATTCTTTATATATTCTGGATATGTAAAGTCCTTTATCAGATATACGATTTGCAATTATTTTCTTCCAGTCTGTGGCTTGTTTCTTCATTTCCTTAGTGGTAGCTTTCAAACTTTAAAGTTTTGGAATCCTCCAATCTATCAGGTCAGACTCTTAAATTAGTATGTTATATTGTCAAGTTGACAAGTTGACTTATAGTTATGTTACTTTCTACTTTTGATATTTTGAGCCTATTTTATGTTAAATTAACACATGTAGAAATATCACATATTCCTGGAGAGCTGAACCGTGTACAATAGTTCTTCTATGTAGCCCTTGTCACCATTACAGTTTTGCTGATTGTGAAATTAGCTAATATATGTGTTCCTCATTGGAGAATAAATTCCAAGTGAGCAGGGATTACATCTTTTTCTTCTTAATACATCCACAGTATTAGGACAGGTAGAGGGTACTTAATAACTATTAGTTGATTGAAAGAATTTGTTTTCATTTATTTATTTTTTAGCACGTACTAGTATATAGTGCTTGTTTACTATAATGCTTGTTTTCTGCTGCCTCTCTTTTACTTATTTTCCCCTTTGATCTTTGAATAACCTAAACTTTAGGAACTTCTAATGTTATTGCTATTGCAGGGTATAGTATTTATTTTACAGTGTTTGTATGCCATTTGTTTTTTCAAATCATCAAAATAGCACATTTATTTATTTATTTTTTAAAAAATATATTTTATTGATTTTTTGCAGAGAGGAAGGGAGAGAGATAGAGTTAGAAACAATGATGAGAGAGAAACATCGATCAGCTGCCTCCTGCACATCTCCTACTGGGGATGTGCCCGCAACCAAGGTACATGCCCTTGACCGGAATCGAACCCGGGACCTTTCAGTCCGCAGGCCGATGCTCTATCCACTGAGCCAAACCGGTTTTGGCATAGCACATTTAAAGAATATGATTTTTCTACTTAATTTATTTTTTTAATGAATGCCAGTAATTCTTTTACTTTAGGAGTGTTTTTATTATATGTTTTTAAAGTTGTATATCTCTAATGTCTATGTATCTATTTATCTCTATATTATTTTTGTTATATATTGCTGTTTAACAAATCATTTCAAAGCTTAGTGCCTAAAAACAACAATAAATATTTCTCTCAGTGTCTGTGAGTCAGGAATGCAGGAGCAGCTTCGTTAGGTGTTTCCTGTTACAGTCTCCTGAGGTTACAGTGAAGATATTGGCTGAAGCCGCCCGTCCTCTGGAAATGTGACTGGCACTGGGGGAGATGCTTTGGAGATGGCCTCCTTACTGGCTGGGAGTCGGTGCTGGTTGTCGGCAGGGGCCTCGTCATTGGCCACATGAACCTCTCCACGGGGCTGCTTGAGTGTCTTCCTGACGTGGCATCTGACTTTCCCTAGAGTAGGTGGTCTACGAGCACAAACTAGACACGGCACTGGCTTTTATGGCTTAGCCTTGAAGTTGTAGACCATCACTTCTGCTGTGTTCTGTTGCTCACACAGGCACACCCCATGCAGTGTGGGAG